TAAGCAAATCACCTCACCCAAGAACCAAACCAGGAGAAAGCCATTAAGCCATAATAAGAATTGCCTCTTCATTGTGTCTTCTCACCGGTCCAAACTTCTACCAAACCTAGCTCAGACAAACACCTAGGATTTGTACTTTACCTATAGAGCCATCTATGACCCCTACGTAACCCCTACATGCAGAGGTGGTATTCAACAGGTTCTGACCAGTTCTGGAGAACCGGTAGCGGAAATTTTGAGTAGTTTGGAGAACCTGCAAATGCCACCTCTGACTGGAGATTTTACAGTATCCTTCCCCTGCCATGCCTACAGAATCGGTAGTAAAAAAAAATTGAATCCCACCACTGCCTACATGGCACCATGGGAGTCCTACAACAGCCAATAGAACACATGTTCTTGCACAGGAACAGGAAGCTCATGGGCAAAGCCCAAGAGAAGGTGTAAAAACCCCTCACTCTCAACTCCATGTGGTTCTGCTTCATCATGAAACCCTCTTTCCAGTCAGCCTCCATTTTGTCTCCAAGGCCTTTCTCCCGGCTTGGAACTGAACCAGATGGATATTTTCTTCCCACAGTTTGAATGCTTTAATTCCTAATCTCAAATTCTGACCTTAAACAATTAATCACTCTTTTGAGGTCTCTTTTGTGGGCGTTCCCTCCCAAGATGAACCAAATCACATCCTGTGTTTGTAATCATCTGTTTTTTTAAAAAAAAGTACACACATTTGCAGGGAAATATCATATTTTTTAAAAAAAATGTCTTTCAATGCATTTTCTCCCAAACGATCAACCTTTGTGTAGCAAGAAGCCAGAATTTCCAGCTCGACATTCAAAGCACGCGATGCGACCTGGGGAAATCCTGACCCAGTTTTAACGTTGACAAATGTTGTCAAGTTTTCTTTTTAACCAATCTTCAGGGCCGCCCCAGAGTGTGGGCGAAAAAGTCAAGATGGCAGCCACGGTGGTGGGATCGGCATTGCTCGCCCCATCGTAGCAGCCATCTTTCACTTTTTGAAACGCAACCTGGGATACCCACTGATTAATCTGCTTGTGCAGGGGGTTGGACTAGAAGATCTCCAAGGTCCCTTTTAACTCTGTTATTCTGATATTCGTTCAAGAAGCTTCTTCAGCTCCGGTTCCTACCTTCAGCCTATCTTTTTAGCACAGAGACAAATATGTCCATGTATCTAAAACCTAGTGTTGAGGTATTCCCCATTAGGAGAATGAGTGCACTCGGGGAAACGTAGTGAGAGTGATGTTGAATAACACACAACCAGCATACAGATACGCTGAATGGTAAAAGGTAGGTTTTACTTCCACTAAACGGGTAAACAAAGTCCAACAAACAGTCCAAATCATACATGGTTAAATCAGTTAGTATCAGTCCAGGGATAATCCAAAAACGAAGTCAAGTACCATAAACAAAGTTCAGTAAATGGAGTTTGCTAACAGTTGCAAAACTCACAGCAATCCAAGCAGAACGACAATCAGGCAAAACAGCAAAACAGGAAATGCAAGAAGAGAACAAACCAGGTTTCTGGCTCCATCTTATGGCCGTTGGAGGAACTTCAGCCAATCACAATTACAGCATTCTCTTAAAGATACAACAGTATTAAATAACTATCCTGGTTTATATACGTATTTCCAACCCCCAACTGTTAGGTGACTATCATTCCTAACACCTAGCAATGGCCACTAGGTGGCACCAGAGCCAAAGACTGTAAAGGACATCAGGGTGCCACTGGGGTCTTTCATTTTTAGAGAGTCAGGCTGGCTTTAAACTGACCTGATCGGTCTGTCTCAGGGGTGTCAAACTACATTTCATTGAGGGATGCATTAGGGTTGTGTTTGACCTCGCAAGGCCGGGGTGGTGGTGCATGCGTGGCCAGGGGTTTGTGGCCTTGATGGGTGGGACACGGGACTCGTGTCGGGGGCACCTGTGGTGGCCAAGGCAGGACTTCCCCGAGACCCTCCCTCACTCTCATTATAATCTCCTTCCTTCCTTCCTTCTTTATTCTTTCTTCTTCCTTCCCTTTTTTCTTCTTTTTCCTTCCTTCCTCTCTTCCCATCTTCCCTTCTTCCCTTTTTTCTTTGTCTTTCCTCTTTTCCTCTCCTTCCTTCCTTTTTTCTCCCTCTTTTCTTCTTTTTCCTTCCTTGCTCTCTTCCCATCTTTCCTTTTTCTTTGTCTTTCCTCTTTCCTTTTCCTTCCTTCCTGCCTTCTTTCTCCTTTTTCCTTCCTTCTTCCTTCCCATCTTCCCTTCTTTTTCTTTGTCTTTCCCTCTCCTTCCTTTCTCCTTCT